CTTTCCTCCTTGCGGCTTCGTTGTCACTCACTCGTTTTGTTACTCTCTCTCTCTTTTCCCCTCTGTCTGGCAGAGCACCAGTGCCACTGGCCACCTACACGGACTCTTCTAGGAGACAGTCTTGTTTCTGAGTTTAAATGTAACTCAAATACAACAGGAAGAGGAGAAAGAGTGACATCTACTGGAAGAACCACTGTGGTTCCAATTCCAGATTGAAGCTCCCTGGAAAAACTGACAGACACATAAAACTTCATACACAATTATCAGGGGGGAAAAGGCATGTGAGACACATCTACCAACCCAAAGTAAAGAATGGTAAATAAATAAATAAATAAATTTAACATTTATTGAATGTGCACCTTGTGTCAAATGCCTTCCGTGAACAACCTGATTTAACCCTTGTAACTACTCTCAAGTAGGTATTATTATCCCCATTTTGTAGATAAGAAAACTGAGGCTAAGCACTTAATTAACATGCCCAAGGTCAATGACAGTTATTAAGTGGCAGAGCTGGGTTTAAGCCTAGGGCTGCCAGAATCCTTATCCCCTAAGCTATACTGTCTGTTCCCAATGTGTGCGTGTGTGTGTGTTTTCTCTTATTAATCCTAATGATATTTCTGAAAGGTAAGGAAATGATAATCAACTAAAAAGGCAGCATGGTAAAACACAACTACCTAGAGGTCACACAACATTATCCCTCACACTCTTAAGGTTTCCAAATCCCTTCTTGACATATATTATATCATCAAAGTTTTGTTTTGTTTACATACAAGGGGAGAACTGCACTGCTACCCTTAATGTTACTAAGAAAAGATAAAAACACAACAGAGGGCGGGATTAACAGCACCAGAGGATAAAAGAAATTATTTATGAGCCAAAACACTCATCTAACAGAAAAACAATTTTCAGTCTAAGAAGTAGAAGGGCCAATCCAAGCACTAAACGTGTAGATAAGGAAGCCTAGACTCAACTCTTATAAACTATGTGCGGTATGAAAAAAATACTCTCACTTTTAATACATGATCTGTCATGTATTAAAAAACTACAAGAAGAATTAAAACCATTCCTGTATCTGATACTACACTTCCCAGGGGGGAGCGGGGAAAAGCACACTGAGTTGTTGTTGTTGCTGTTGTTGTTAGGTGCCACAGAGTTGGTTCCAACTCATAGCGACCCTACATACAACAGAAGGAAACAATGCCCAGTCCTGCGCCATCCTCACAATGGTTGCAATGTGTGAACCCACTGTTACAGCCATGGTGTCAACCCGTCTCACTGAGGGTCTTCCTTTTGGGGTAGGTACACCTAACTT